AGAAATAATAAACAGCTTATTTGTGAAAATGGCATAATTCTTGGTAGGTGCTACGGAGATTTATCGTAAAATACTCCAAACACTGCTGCAATTCTGCTCCAAAAGAGCAGAGGTACTTTCAACTGACCCAAAATATATTTGATATCAATTCGGTAAGAAAGTCGCAGTCTCTGTCTGGGAAATATGCCCAGCCTAGAGTTGCCGAATAAAATACAGGATGCCCAGTTAAATGTGATTTTCATATAAATAACGAGTAATTTTTAGTATAAGTATGTCCCAAATATTGCATGAGACATACTAAAAAAGTATTCGTTGTTTATATGAAATTCACATTTAACTGAGCATCCTGAACAGTTGACCCTTGAACAGCACGGGTCCGCTCTTACACGGATTTTTTTCAATAAACGCATACTACAGGACTATTCAATCTGCGGTTGGTTGCCTTCGCAGGTGCAGAACCACAGATACGAGGGCCTGCTATAAAGTTATAGGCAGATTTTTGTCAATGCCAGCCGGGGTCAGTGCCTCTAACACCTGCATTGTTCAAGGATCAACTGTATTTTTATTTGCTAAATCTGGCAACCCTAGCCCATGCTTTCTCAGGTTTTTCAATGGTGCTCCCAAACTTTCTCTGTTGGTTGGAGAGCCCAACACAAATACTACGGATTTACAACTGAATAGGTAAATTAAGAATGTAGTTTCTAGAGTTAGACTGCCAAGATTCAAATCCCTTCTCTACCACTTCTTAGATGTATGGTCTTGAATAAATTCTTTAACCTGTCTGAGCCTCAGTTTCTTCATCTATAAAATGGGTTGAGTGGATGAAATGAAAACGCATTGTGAAATGAAACGCATGTGAAGGGGTTAGCACGGTGCATAAGTGTTCAAAAATAACTTATTTTCAGTCATCTGGAAAAACAGGCTAGAAAACACACAGGTAACTAAGTGGGAAATCAAACAGATGTGATAACATGGAATAAGATTACAGGTAGGATAGCAGCACATAGAGGAAGAAAGGAACAACACTGCAATTCAGCAAACGCAGTATTGAGAATTCGTACTTCCAGCAATGCAGTAGACAGGTAGAAAATTAGCCAGTTTGGCCCTGTTGAAATTAATTGCCCACTTCTGGGCTCCAATTAAAATTTAAAAAGACTTGTAGAGGCTAGAAAGAAAAAATGTTAAAACCAAAAGAAAAAAAGTAGTTAAAAGCTAAATCTCATGGGTTGACCCCAGAAAAGGCAGAAGGGGAGTTCAGCAACTTCACTTTTATAAAACTTGCATGATCGTACAACACAGGGAATATATCCACTATTTTAAAATAGCCATAAATGGAGCATAACCTTTAAAAACTGTGAATCACTATATTGTGCACCTGTAACGTATAATATTGTCCATCAACTATACTTCAATTTTTTTAAAAAGTTGCGGGTTTTCCCTGGTGGTCCAGTGGTTAAGACTCCACACTTCCACTGCAGCGGGCACGGGTTCGATCCCTGGTCAGGGAACCAAGATCCCGCCCGCCTCATGGCACAGCCAAAAAAAAAAAAAGTTGCATCATGGTCAGCTAGATAGTCTAGCTCCTCAGAGACCAAAGAAGAGGAAATGGGCTCGCAGAATAGAGCATTTTGAAAGATTTTACTTTAAGACTGGCTAAAATTTGAAATAGGGAGAAGTGGTTATCTGCAAATAGAAAATAAATCCAGGGATTATCACAGATAACATTTTCTTCTCTGATGGTCTTGGGGAGATTCTGTGCTGTTTGGGATGGTTTAAATGTCATCCTCTCTATATGAAGTATCAAATGATCTCTAAAGGTCCTCACCAGGTCTAGGGTTCTAGAATCTATATTGACATTTCAAAAGCCAAATGTGACAGTATGTTTGCTGAGGGATTGCTGACATGGCTTCTCTACCTGAATTCATTTAAACTGGAACATGGGCATTATTTTTCCATTTCTCTTCAGAGCCAAGTAACCAGGCAACAGTAATTTTTTATTATTTTATCTTTTTTTTTTTAATCCCCCTGAAAGAATCACAGTAAACTCAAAAGCAAACTTTTATTTTTGGCCACACCGCGCAGCATGTGGGATCTTAATCCCAACAGGGATGACACCCACGCCCTTGGCAGTGAAAGTGCAGAGTCCTAACCACTGGACGGCCAGGGGATTCCCTAAAGGAAATAATTTTTAAATCCATAAATGTTTTTCTCATAATTCAGGGCCTTAGACTACAGAGGTGTATATTTTAAAAGTTTGATGGCATTTATGGTAAGTATACTAGATTTTTATAAAATTGTTTATGAAACCGGTTCCTCTGGGTATTTGGCTTTCTAATCTCTTTTCTTCTTTGTCCTTGCAAACTGTTGGAGCAATTTAAAGACAATTACTAGGGATGAGGTGATTTCAGACTTGCATTTTTCAAGGATTAAGTAGTATGGAAGGATGAAAGGTTAAATTAGATGGTTGATGTCCCAGGAAGAGGAAGAAACTAAAAATGAAAATAAGGAGGGAAAAGTGGAATAAAATTCATTCAAAAGTACAGCTAAGACGCTAAAAAAAAATTGGAAAATGGGAAATCATAATGAGACTGGGGTCCCCATGATCTTTTTGCCTTTATTTCCGTTTTTATAAGGTCATAGAATGTTAGAGATGAAAAGTATCTTAGAAGTGAATCCACAATAAATCCTGTCCTACTCATCTTGGTCTCCCCTGGTTCCTTTACAGAGAAAACGTCTCAATAAATGTTGACTAATGGAGGGACTAGTGTTCACTGAACACTTGCTTTGGGGAGCACTCTGCTAAGTGTGTGTCACATGCTACCTTGATTGATCCTTACTGCAAGTCTGAAGGAGATGTTGACGGACTCCATTTTATAAATGAAAAACTGAGAAGTTCAGTTACAGTTTAGTGATGAAACCAAGATTCAACTTGTGTCAGTCCTATGCCCACCACCACCCAATCTTGCCGCCACTATCCTTATTAACTTGAACGCTTAAATCACTCTTCTGATACTTTTTGGGGAGCCACACTCACACCATTGGGGTGGGAGGTTGACCTTGTAATTCAAAGAAATGACCTGACTTATTAAATGAAGGTACTTCTACTTATTGTCATAGTGAGCTATCACCTGGATTATACATCCCTTAGTTCTGTTAAGTATTTATGGTCTTTAAAATGTTTTCTATATAGCATATCCGTTGAAGTATGTCATGCTCACCCAATCCTTCCGCTATACAGCCCTTCACCATGATCCCTTTGTTCCTTCCACCACTGACTGCCCGCTAGCGCCTTCCAACCTTGCACCTCTACCACAAGCATCTATTAGTATATTCACACCATGAAGGGCTAGTCTAGTCATTTTTTAATCTTTATCACTTTGGCAGGAGTAGAAATTATCAAGTCCAGAGACATTTTACTTGAACACACTGCAACCCTAGTTTACAGATAACCCAGTTTTGTGTTCGTGGTAGATGGAAACTTCCCCAAAAGAAGTCCTTGATGACAAAGACCCTAGGTTCTGCTCAAAGTGATTTTCCCAGGGCAGACATGTGAAATTCTACCTCAGTTCCCAGGGTCTGGGAAGACGGTGAGAGAAGAAAGTACGAACGTTGCCCTTTCTTTCCAGAAGGCTCGAAGCCCAGTCACCTCAAGACAACATGGAGAGCAAACTTTAGCCCTTTCCCCAACGTAATAGCATCTCATTCATGAAGCTGAATTAATGCTTGAGAGTCTTTCAACAGTACAGCAGTACAGCCAAGAATGTTTTCTGCAGCAAAATCCATCTCTATTTGCCTCACCACCTACCATTTCACCATCCGACTATTAAACTTAGTATTTTACTGCGCTAATCTTCTTTTTTAATTTATTTATTTGTTTATTTATTTATGGCTGTCTTGGGTCTTCGTTTCTGCGCGAGGGCTTTCTCTAGTTGCGGCAAGCAGGGGCCACTCTTCATCGCGGTGCGCGGGCCTCCCTAATTGCCGAGCCCAGGCTCCAGACGCACAGGCTCAGTAGTTGCGGTTCACGGGCCTAATTGCTCCGCGGCATGTGGGATCTTCCCAGACCAGGGCTCGAACCCGTGTCCCCTGCATTGGCAGGCAGATTCCCAACCACTGCGCCACTAGGGAAGCTCCTACCGCGCCCCTCATCCTGTTTGTGATCTTCATATGGCCCAGAGCTACACACATAGGAGACTCAAGAACTGGGCTGAATGTGTGGGGAGCCCAGGCTGGACTGTCTAAAGCTGCCTGTGCTCTCCTCCCAGAAGGCGGCACCTGCCACCGGGGGGACTGCGGCGTGGACAGTCTGAGTTGAGGCTTGTCCAAACTACACACCGGGTTTTGTAAATTAAGTATCAATACAATAAGAATTCAAAGATCTCATTAAGTTTTTCTATTGGTTACATATTGAAACCTTACTCTGGATATATTGGGCTATATAAAATGTATTTTTTTAATGTGCCTATTAGAAAACTTTAAATTACATATGTGTCTTACACTGGGCAGTACTGGGCTAAAGGATGACCAGAGGAAAATAACCGTACATTTGAATCCTGCCATGTTCTTTGCAGTTTTCTTTTATATCTCTTAACGGTTCCTCCCGAGAATCATCTGAGATAAAAGGCATGTCTCCCGCCCCAGCAGCTTCTCCTGCTGATCCGCTAGCAAAGGACCCCGGGAAGAGGACCTCGGGCATAGGCCATGTTTTCTGCGTCCCTTCGGTTCCGCGGGGGCGACAGAGACGACGGACGCAGAAGGCCCGCCCCTCGTTTTTCCCCCCGGCCCGGGAACGACGCCAGCAGCGACTCCGCACCCAGGAGCCCCGCCGGGCTTCCTCGGAGACCTTCCCAAGATGGCGCCGCCGAGGGGCCGGGGCCGGGGCCGCCAGCCGCACCGTCCCCGTCCCGCCCCGTGCTGACGATTGGCTGAGACGACTCGGTGGTGAGCGGTGATTGGGCACAAGAAGACGTGAGCTGGGCGGGACCGGAAGGGGTCTCAGCCTGGGGAGCGGGGGTCCGGGCTGGACATTAGGCCCTGGGGGATGTGGAGAGCTGGCGGCATGTCCGCAGAGCTGGGGCTCGGCTTCGCCCTGAGGGCGGTGAACGAGCGCGTGCAGCAGGCGGTGACGCGGCGGCCGCAGGTGAGGAAGGGGACCGCGCGGTGACGGTGGGCGGCCGCTTTGAGGCGGGGTGGGGGGGAAACACCTGCGTGTGAATGGGTCGTCACAGTGACGCAGAGGGGTCTCCCGGAGGGGCGGGACCTGCTCGCCGCCTTGGCATTGGCGCGGGTTGCAGAGCCCCCAAAAGGCTAGCGAAGGGGTTCCTCAGCTTACGTCAGGTTTTCTGGAGGTTGGCTTGGTCGGAGCAGAAGGTGTCGGTATCCCGGGAAAATGACCAGTCTCCAGGCAGCGCGATCATTCTCCATCCCGCTTCGTGTTAGGGGTCAGCAGCCTTGGCGGATGGGAGAGGGGCCAGGCCTGTGCCCAGAGGCCGCAGGAGAAGACGACCACTACCAGAGCAGCCAAAGGAGGCCAGGTCTGCCGGAGATGTGTGTGGCAGCGTCTCAGCTAGTAGATGCTCAGTAAATGTCAGTCCCCCCACCCCCCTCGCTGGCGCAGGACAGGGTGGATTGGCCCGACTTGGGAGGGAGGCACCAGAGCTGCACTTGCGCGTTTGGGGCAGGAGGAAATTGACCTCCAATCCGAAGCAGTTTACGGGGAGATTTTTTTTTTTCCTTATATATATTTCCTCTCCTGTTGGAAGTTCACTAAACCAAAGGTCAGTATCTTCCCCCCTCAGTGCAAGTTTAAGCTGAATCGTGTGGAGTAAGACAGGCTTGAATAGAGAGGTCAAAGTTTTCTCTGATCAAGCATTTACGGTGTTAGAGCTGAGAATGCTGGCCTGGAGACAGAAGACCTGTATTAGTGTAGCCTTTACTTGGCTGTTACTTAGACGTTACCTTGAACAAATCACTTAACTGCTCGGGCTGTCAGTTTCCTCATATGTACAGGCAATGGAAAGCTCTAAGCTCCCTTCCAGCATTAATTTTTTTGTGATTCTCCAAGAAAAAGCTAGAGATTCCCCTAATAAATAATCACGCTAGGGGGTGCTCCCAGTATAACTCTCAGGCAGATGGGCTGCCTATTCCACTTTTTTCTCTAGAAACTGTCGATTCATCCGCATAATCCTAGGAGTTATGACATGGTCTCAAAAGGTTGGCAGTGCAGCCCTCAGAAGGAGGGGAAAACTCTTTGCTAATCATTGTAACTTTTCAGGCCCTTTGAGAACTCTGTGATTCTGTAAAAATTCCAGAGGGTGATGGGGTACCTGAAAACTGAGCCATATGGGGATAGGTGAATCTCTTCCCTGTGTGGATTTGGTTATAGCAGAGTCCAGGGAAGCCACTCTTTAGGTAATGGCCATGACAGGGAGGTCAGCTAGGTCTAATCCTGAGTCCAGAGCCTTCTGTGTCCTTGGCTCAGTTCTGCCGCTGGTTCTTGATTAGATGGTACAATAAGTTACAGAGTTGCCCTAAGCAGGCTGCTTTTGAGAGTGCCTGTGGGCAATACTGATAATTACACCAGGACCCAGATGAGTTTCCAAGACTGTTGACCTCGGGGTTTCAGAAGCCAGAAGTGGCCTCCCTTCTAGTCAGAGAGCAATGCCTTCTCTTGACAAAGTGATTCTTAAACCTCCAACCTTGGCATGCAAGAGACTCATCCGGAGAGCTTGATTTAAAGGAGATTCGCAGACTCCAGACTGAGATTCAGATCCAGTGGGTCTGGAGCAGGACCCAGGTGATGCTGATACTGTCGGTCAAAGACCAGGCTCTACAGAAATCCTGCTCTTACTTACCTGCCCAGCTCTCCTGAGAGAGAAAGGTCTTCTGCTAGATGTTAAGGTAGCTAGCGTATTAGAGTTAGATGCCACGCATACAAAAGACATTTGATCAACATCATTTGACACTGATCTCCCTGCAGTATTGGAAAAATGGATCTTCCAGAATGCCAAGTTAAAGATCTCTGCCAGTCTCTTCTACAGGATGTCCTACAGGGCTTATTGGGATAATATTTCCAACCTTTGATTCATCTGGGTCTTTTCCTCTTGGCAGGAACTCCCAGCCATCCAGCCCCGGCTAGTAGCGGTCAGCAAAACCAAACCTGCAGACATGGTGATCGAGGCCTACAGTCACGGGCAGCGCACTTTCGGGGAGAACTATGTAAGAACCCTTTTCCACGCTGCCCTCGGAAGAGTCACGTATGCCAGGCTTCTGACTTGCTCTGTTTTTACCCTCTAGGTTCAGGAACTGCTTGAAAAAGCATCAAATCCTAAAGTAAGTGGAATCTGAATTCTTTAGTTTGTATCTCAGTCTTGGCTGTTCAGTTGAAAATTAGACCCACGTCGGTGGTTGAGTTTTAGAGCTGGAGGTCGGGCTGGCGGTAGAAATGTCTGCGTTCACCTTGAGCCCTAAACATTTCTCATCTAGATTTTCTTTCTTTCTTAAGATCATAGTTTTTTCCTTTGTGGCTTTTTGAAAATGGTGATTTTTAGGAGCTTGCTGTAATCTTGGATCCTTTTGAGATTTGAAAGCTTTAATCAGTTCATTCTCAATGGGCAATATCTGAAAGAAGGAGAGAGTGGATGGGAACAAGGAAGAGAAATAGAACAGAAGGCTTCAGGTTTTCTCTAAGTATCCTTAGGAGCCTGACGGAAGATGACAGTAGTGGTTTATTGCATAGAGGGGAAAGGTCAGAAGGCAGCGTGCAAGGTATGTGGGCGGGCAAGGCCTCCGCACAGTCTAAGTCAAACACGGTCACCTCTTTCTCTTCAGATTCTGTCTTCGTGTCCTGAGATCAAATGGCACTTCATTGGCCATCTACAGAAACAAAATGTCAACAAGTTGATGGGTAAGATAAAACTCTAAATATGAAGACACAATTTTTTCATCATTGTATCACTTACGGTACCTTCTGTGGAAGAGAGAAGATTTTAGAGTATTCCTGATTCACCATTTGTGCTTTGGAGTTTCTTTGGGGAAAGAAATCTTAGTTCTTTTTTCAATTTTGTTTTTTCAATTGAAGTATAGCTGATTTACAATGTTGTGCCCATCTCTGCTGTGCAGCAAAGTGACTCAGTTATACACATATATGCATTCTCTTTTTATATTCTTTTCCATTATGGTTTATTACAGGATGTTGAATATAGTTCCCTGTGCTGTACAGTAGGACCTTGTTGCTTATCCATTCTATATATAGTAGTTTGCATCTACTAACCCCAAACTCCCAGTCTGTCCCTCTCCCTCCCCCGCCCCCCTTGGCAACCACAAGTCTGTTCTCTGTGTCTGTGAGTCTGTTTCTGTTTTATAGATAGGTTCATTTGTGCCATATTTTAGATTCCACACATAAGTGATATCATATGGTATTTGTCTTTCTGACTTACTTCACTCAGTATAATCATCTCTAGTTGCATCTGTGTTGCTGCAGATGGCATTAGGAAATCTTCCTTCTTAATATAAGGGAAAACCTGTAAGAAAAGAATGAACTCACAATTGACTGGGTAATATATACTTGGAAACCTACCCTACCTCACATTAGGTATTTTTTGGTGGTCTTTGAAATAAATTATAAGGAATTAAAGCCCATAAAATTTTTCAGCTGGCAAAGGAGACACTTTTGTCCTTTTCCCTTTAAATGAAAGGCTATAGTAAATAAAGTGCAATAATATACAATACTACAAGTAAAGTATATAATAATAAAATACAATATACAGTAACATACAGTAAATAAAGTAAAATTAAGAATTAACTATAGAAAGACTTAACTGTGTGAAAATGACATGTGGAAATCTTCCTGAATAACTGAATACTTACTTCTCTCAAGGTGTCAAAATTAAAGTAACCTGTACTGATTTTTTAAAACAGCCTTATTGAAGTATAATTGACATACAATAAATTGCACATATTTAATTTGATAAGTTTTGACATATGTTTGCACTTATGAAACCATCACAAGAATCATGGTCTTAAACATATTCAGAATGGCCATCATCAAAAATTATACAAATAATAAATGCTGGAGAGGGTGTGGAGAAAAGGGAACCCTCCTACACTGTTGATGGGAATGTAAATTGATATAGCTACTACGGAGAACAGGATGGAGGTTCCTTAAACTAAAAATAGAACTGACATATGATCCAGCAATCCCACTCCTGCACATATATCCAGAAAAGATGAAAACTCTAATTCGAAAAGATACAAGCACCCCAGTATTCATAGCAGCACTGTTTACAATAGCCAGAACATGGAAGCATCCTGAGTGTCCATCAACAGATGAATGGATAAAGAAGATGTGGTACATATACACAATGGAATATTACTCAGCCATAAAAATGAATGAAATTCTGCCATTTGCAGCAGCATAGATGGACCTAGAGATTATCATACTAAGTGAAGTAAGGCTGAGAAAGACAAATATGTGCTATCACTTATATGTGGAATCTAAAAAAAAAAGGACAAAATGAACTTATTTACAAAACAGCATCAGACTCACAGGAAACAAACTTATGGTTACCAAAAGGGAAAGGGGTAGGGGGAGAGGTAAATCAGGAGTGTGAGATTAACAGATACACACCACTATGTATAAAATAGATAAACAACAAGGTCCTACTGCGTAGCACAGGGAACTATATTCAGTATCTTGTAATAACTTTTATGGGAAAAAAATCAGAATATATGTAGCTGAATCACTTTGCTCTATACCTGAAACTAACACAATATTGTAAATCAACTATACTTCAATTTAAAAAGAACAATGCAAATAAGTTGATTAGCATATTACCTGGAGGATTTCAGTGTTTAATAAACGTAAGCTGCTGATGTTGCTTCTGTCTTGTTGTTTTTTATCTGAGGCAAGACTCAATGCATCTTTGGGAAAGAAGTTGGTTTTGATGACAGCTAAGTATCTCCCTTAGCTGTCAGTGGTCATTCTAATGTCCTTGTTGAATAAGAGCATCCCCATCCCAGGAAGTTTAAAGACATGGAGATATCAGGCCCAGGGAGCACTTTAGCTTTCACTGTTTAACCTTTCCTTATTGTCATCTTGGCCTGTTTCTCTCAGTTTGAACTGAGATTTAATCAGATCAAGCCTGCCATTCAGAATCTCTACAATTATCAGCTTCTTTTTTTTTTCACTGTTTATTGTTTTTTTTAATTTTTATTTTTTTTATTGAAGTATAGTTTATTTTCTTTTTTTTAATATTTATTTATTTTTGGCTGCGTCAGGTCTTAGTTGCAGTGTGTGGGCTTCTCTCTAGTTGTGGCATGCAGGCTCTCTAGTTGTGGCACGTGGGCTCTGTAGTTGTGACGTGCAGGCTCCAGAGCACGTGGGCTCTGTAGTTGCAGCACACGAGCTCTCTGGTTGTGGCGCATGGGCTCAATAGTTGTGGCGTGTGGGCTTAGTTGCCCCACGGCATGTGGTATCTTAGTTCCCTAACCAGGGATCGAACTCACGTCCCCTGCATTGGAAGGTGGATTCTTAACCACTGGACCATGAGGGAAGTCCCTAAGTATAGTTGATTTTCAATGTTGTGTTAGTTTCAGATGTAAAGCAAAGTGATTAAGATAGATAGATAGATAGATAGATAGATTCTTTTTCAGATTCTTTTCCCATATAGGTTTTTGCAAAATGTTGAGTATAGTTCCCTGTGCTATACAGTAGGTCGTTGTTGGTTATCTGTTTTATATATAGTAGTGTGTATATGTTACTCCCAAACTCCTAATTTATAAACTATTAGTGTGCCGCCTGATTGTAGCACGTCATCACCTCCCTTTCCTTATTCGTGTTTTCCGATTAGACAGCAATGGGCTGACATTCGAACTTAATATCTAGTAAACTGTCGCGTAAGTCTTAGCAGAACTGAGACTTAACTGTCCTTTTCCTGGGAAATTATTTTCCTGTCTACCAAGAAAAGCTTTGTGGTGTGTTGCTTGCTGCGGTCAGGTGAGTGAAGAATGACCTGGCCTCTTTCTCGTTACAGCTGTCCCCAATCTCTTCATGCTGGAAACAGTGGATTCTGTGAAGCTGGCAGACAAAGTGAACAGTGCGTGGCAGAAAAAAGGTTCTCCCGAAAGGTTAAAGGTTATGGTCCAGATTAACACCAGCGGAGAGGAGAGTAAGTGATCAGACCTGGACTGCAGACTTTTCTCCCCTTAGGATGGTTGTACCTCAGGAAGAATGGCAGGCCTAAGCATCTGATACCTAAGGTTACAGAAAGAAGTCACAGGCCTTTAAGGAAACTGTTGTATGTAGGGTCTCGGCACAGTGACATCCAAACCTGTCCACGTGTAATTCTTTAATACATCATGGTTTGTTATTTCCTAATTTTTGAGGAGGTGGGCAAGGGGAATCGAGAAGGGCATTGTGACTTTGATCCTGAAAATTCTCAGAGGTCACCATCCCTCCTGAAAGAGATTGCAGTTTTACATGTATAATACTTCTCAGGACCTAACAAAACTATTTAATGTTACATTAGGAGAAAATCGAAGAAATATCACTGAGTACCAATCAGTGAATATGTTTATGGGGCTTGGGTTAACAATGTAAAATAGTAAACAGAACCTGGGCTCTGAAATCAGACAGACCTGGAGTCTGAGCTCCACCACTTGCAGCGTTGTAACCTTGAGTAACGTACCTAACCTCTCCGCACTCCACTGCCTTATCTGGCAGTGCAAGCAGGGCAGTACTCCCAAGGGTGTTGTGAATCTTGAATGTGGAAATGGAGGTAAAGCTGTTGCTATAGAGCCCTGAGCGTCTTACCTGTTAGCTCTTTGTTAAGAATAAGTGCTTACAGACCAGTCATTTGCCTACAAAGCTTAGGCTGAAGGAACAAGCATGGGGCCTAGAGTCAGGCTACCTGGGTCCACATCCCAGTTCCACATTTCCTGGTTGTGTGACCTTGGGAAAGGTACTTGGTTTCCCGGTGCCTCAGTCTCCCCCTCTTTAGAATGGAGAAAGTAAGAGTACTTACTTCATCCAGTTACTGCATTAAATGAAAAGCTCTAAGGACTTGGCACATGTGCCTGGCACAGAAGTGTTCAGTAAATTTTAACAATTATCGTTATATGTACATGTACCTGGATTCTACAATACATTATCAATATGGGTAAATCTGAAATTGACTCCAGATCAAGTCTGTTACATCATTTCCTGATCAGTGGCTGTCCTTTGCCCCAATTAAAGATTGGTGGATGTTAGCATCTCCATTTGTTAAATTAGAGAAGGACAGTATCCATCCTCATAACTGTGTAACAAATAATCATTTGCTGCAGACTCCTCCTCTGCTTGTTAATTAGCGAGTTCAGTTAAATTTTGCAAGTTATAGTCAAAACTATGTAATATATACTTCATTTTTTATTTTTTTACAATTCTAATAAATTAATAAAACGGTAGAAATACCAGATTTGGAAAAATAATTCTCGGATTAATCTGGCATTTTGGCGATGTGAATCTTCTTGGTGTCTCAAGAAAAGCAGTGTTTTTTCTTTTCCTTCTACTCTAGCTGTTCTCAGATGCTGAGATAGAATAAAGAGAATCCAGTTTAGAGCTCTTCCCTGGAGAAACTCAGAACCAGGTCAGAAGGGGAGTAACACACACGGAGACCTCAATGTAAAGTCACTCTTTTGGTCTTGAGAACAAGTTCTTCCAAGAAGTCCTCTTGTCTGAGAGCCACCTCCTCCGTCATAAGGAAGGGGTGAGAAGGGGGCTCTCCTCTGGCTTCCTGGAACATCTTGGTATGTTCTATGTGTCTTCTGTTTCTTTTTGTGAAGGCAAACACGGCCTGCCCCCTGCAGAGATGGTGGCCGTGGTGGAACACATAAGCGCCAAGTGCCCCAGCCTGGAGTTCGTGGGGCTGATGACCATCGGGAGCTTAGGGCATGATCTTAGTCGAGGACCGAACCCAGACTTCCAGGTACTCGGGGCCCGGGGTGGGGCACTGCTCACGTGCCAAGCAAGCATCCGGTGAGGTGCTGGAGCAGGGCTGGCCGCTGCCGTCAACTCCACAGACATCCCGGGCGTTGCCTGTCATGTCATATGATTACCCTCTTCTGGAACTCTCCTCATACGGGACACAGAACAGGTCCCCAAACCTACAGAGACCCTTCTCGGCTCAGTGTGAACCTGCCTGACACGGTCTTTAGAGAAAATGAGCTCTGACTTCCTCCCCAGCGACTGACAGCTTTCTTGAAAAGGAGGAGAATTTGCTAAAAAAAAAAAAAAAAACCTTTCAGTAACTTCTGGCAATTTTTTTAAAACATTTTTTTTCTATCTTTTTAAAAAATTTTATTTTATTTATTTATTTTTGGCTGCATGGGGCGTTCATTGCTGCGTGCGGGCTTTCCCTAGTTGTGGTGAGCGGGGGCTACTCTTCGTTGCGGTGCGCGGGCTTCTCATTGCCGTGGCTTCTCTTGTTGCGGAGCACGGGCTCTAGGCGCACGGGCTTCAGTAGTTGTGGTGCGCGGGCTTAGTTGCTCTGCAGCACATGGGATCCTCCCAGACCAGGGATCGAACCCATGTCCCCTGCATTGGCAGGCGGTTGCTTAACCTCTGCGCCGCCAGGGAAGTCCACTTCCAGCAATTTTAACAGGCCTTGAAACCATGAGGAATAAAGAATCTCTGTCAGAGATGTTGAGATTCAGCCGCTTTCAGGCATCCTCGGAGAAGGCAGGGATAAATGGATGTCACGCTCGTCTCTCTGTCAGGTGTTACTGTCCCTCCGGGAGGAGCTGTGCAGGAAGCTGAGCATTCCTGCCGACCAGGTGGAGCTGAGCATGGGCATGTCCATGGACTTCCAGCATGCGGTGAGTGTCCTCCCCGGCGCCCTCAGTGCCTCAAGTTCGGGTCCAAAGGCCCCCAGCAAGAATGTGTTTTTGCTATAGAAAAACCTCGTTGTAGCGTTAGGTGCCCAGGAGTGCTGGCTCTCACCTATACTAGCATCCCCAGCCGCTTCTTTTTTGAAATGAAGTGTATAGGAATTATAGCCCCACACATAATTTTTAAAATTAATTCCCTAAGTGGAATCTAAAGGAAAATAAGAAGAAATTAAACTACAGCTTCTTAAAAAGGCATTTCACTGTGTTCATGCTTGGGCGTGGCTACATGACAGTAAGTCATGACGAAGTAGTCTGATGCCTCGTCATACGTGTAGATTCACCACGACGGCAGCAGCTCTAAGTACGTTCTGACAGGTGTGCTGTATTAACAGCTCATACGTGATCTTCTGGGGCAGTGAATAACTTGATTAAGTGTTCCAAAAATCACACTATAAACTTTCCTCCAGGTACACAGTAGGAGCTCGTGTGGAAAATAGAATATACTAGAGCAATGCAAAAATACTTTGTGTTTATAAGTAAAATGGAATTAGATCCTGTGCTCAGGAGGATCTAAGCCGCGCCCCGTAGCTTGCAACATCTTAGTCCCCTGAGCAGGGATCGAACCCGGCCCCCTGCAGTGGAAGCACGGAGTCCTAACCGCTGGACCACCAGGGAAGTCCCCTTACTTATTTCTTAAACACCCTCTCCTGGTGAACCACTGCCCCATAGTCCTCTGCAGCTGCGTCATCGTTGTCCTTCCGAGAAGCCCCTCAGATGAGGCGCAGCTTCAGCGTCTGCTGCGTTTCATTACGTTAAACTCAGCCCTCGGTACTCCTTTCCCACAGATTGAAGTGGGATCTACGAATGTCCGAATAGGAAGCACCATTTTTGGAGAGCGAGATTACTCCAAGAAAGCTGCCCCCGACAAGGCTGCAGCAGAGCTGAAGGCCCCGGCGGCGGAGGTGGCCCGGGCACACTGAGCAGCGGCCCAGCCCAAGGGCCGGGTCCAGGAAGACTGACTACGCACTACTCTGGGCTTTCGCTTCCACGTGCCCCACGTCACAGCACGACCACACCCTCCTCGGGACCTGGAAAGAGCACGCTGACCATTATGTGCGTCGATGGAAACCATCTGACTTAGCGTCTGACGCAGGAAGCTCACTTCAAGCAGTGACTTTGGATTGGATTTGAGGAATCCAGACTTTTCTGCAGAACAGGTACCTGGGCACTAGTCAGGAGTTGAGTTCAGGCTTGAACATTGCCCAGGAGCACCAACCAACCCATGAATGCCTTTCCCAGGTTCAAACTTGCTGACTGTCGATGCCTATAATCACCAAAGTCAGAGGGATTCTCACTTGTCGTCCACTTCAATAGAAAGTTCCCTGTTACCAACTCCGTACAGACCCCACTGAGTAGCCATCTCTGCTGCTCTGGAGCAGCGTGGTTTCTGCCCCCAGTCTCCACCCCAGCCAGTAAACGCTGGTCTCCACTCTGGAATGGCAGTACAGGTACTTCAGGACCTGCCTTGAGTTAGTCCTCCAGACCCACATTGTGGCTGATGAGAGCTGTGTCCTCAGCCGCCGTGCGGTGCTGACCCTGAAAATTACAGGGCAACTAACATAAGCGGTCCTTGGGCCTTTCTAACGTCCTCCTCCAGAGACAGGACTTTGAGCTTTTGCCCTGGGCCCTACGGTGATGACCATCAAATGATACGATTTTTCCGCCACCATAGTCCCCGTTATGATGATTTCTTATCTCATAGCTCCCCAGATATGAAAGATTCCCTCAAAGCCAGTTCAGGCTCACAGTTTCAACAAAGCCTGGCTTTGAGGTTCCTGTTCCTGGGAGCACTTTTTAGGCATATTTATAGCCTCCCCTCCCAACCATGTTTATAAGGCAGAATTTTGCAAGTCTTGACATTAATGGAGTAGCTAGCTCTTCAAAACCCAGAAAGCACAATTCTCGGATAGTCACAACAGACAACTGTAGTCTGGGTCGTTGTTTGTTTTCTAGGTGGGTTTTTCGTACTTATTCAAGCCCCAGTCTCTAATTTTATGAAACAACTTCCATTAAGCTCCTGCCGAAATGAAATTTTGTAAAACTTAAACCATTATGATTCCTGTACTGTTTCAATCAAAGCTATAGTGTGATATTTCAGTCTATTAAATAAAAATGTGAGTTTGAATTATGCCATCTATGCCAATTACAAAGCGATTAAAAGATTTATTTTCTCCATCTGGTGTAGTGAGTGAGTATAACAGGAGGGGGGCCTTGGACCCAATAGGAAGCCACTGTGCCCGTCACTGGCATCGTACAGCTTTGGAGAAGGGCTTCCTGTGGGTCACAGATACAGCCAAAGCCAGACTGCGGATGAAAGAGGGATTCTGAACTTCTAAGAGCAAGAAAGTGAAATGTTGGCATTTCAGGAACTGCAAGAATAAAGAGGTTGCCTCTTGCTGTAAGAAAATCTTAAAACTGCCTCTAGGTGGCGACATTGGCTAACCTGAGGGGCGAGCTTTGGCGCGCCACTGTCCCCAGACTACTCTAGAAGAGGCTGTCATCCGAAGTCTCACCCCTTTTTTTTTTTTTCAAATTTGCCTGGGAGTGGGTACAGGGTAGGGGGCCCGGGAGCCCAAGAGTGCGCCCCGCCCACTGCTCACAGCATCCGCCACCTCCTCCAGGCTGCCCTCCCGGTTCTCCAGTCAGACGCTGCCGCCCGTCACCCCTTCTTTTAAGGCAGAAACAGAAGGCAGGGAGGACACGATTCTCCCAAGCGATATGGCCGACTCATGCAGAGTCACAAGGTTCTTCCAGATACAGCGTTTCTTTTCGAACTCAGCTGAGGGTCCTGAGGGTGGCTGTGGAACCTTTGGGTGAGAAACGGGTCTGAGCAAGAGAGCCCTCTGGCCTGTGCCTGGAAATCAAGAACAACGAAGCAGGGGAGCCCGGAGAGACGGACTCAAACCCAGTTCAGGAAAGGAAACCAAAGTATGTCTGTCTGGTGTGCCCACCACAGGCCGGGACCTTTTGCAGAGAGAAAACAGCAAAGTTGTGACTTTGTCTTTTGTTACACGGGCCGGGCATGAGTACTCACAGATTTGCATCAAAGCCGTGACAGTATCCACAGCAGGTTTCCGGAGTGACAAGAGCACGCTGTCCTGGGTCAGACCCACCCAGGCAGCCTGTCTCTGTGACGATACTGTCAACCTCCTGGGCCCCACTCTGCTTGGTGCCACTCAGAGCCTCCCAGTAACCCATCAAGGCTCTGTCCTCTGGAAGTTCCTCCCAGACTCATTGCACCTCTTAACAAAGCAACCTCTTAATAGTCCAACTGTACTCCTCTCCCCGCTTTTTTAATCATTCATGGCACATAAAGCACCATCCCCTACATCCGCTCGTTTTGCCCTCACGGCAGCGGGTAGGGTGATTTAGGCTGTTGGGCGGTGTCCCTTCGCAGACGGCTCAGAGGCCCAGAGAAGGTTCAGTGTGCTCCCTGCCTGAGGTCAGAGTGGGTTGGTGGCAGGACAAGAAATAAACTCAAGACCTTTGATTCCTGTTCCAGAGCTTGGTCACCACACCACACCACATTGGTCTCTTCTGTTGTCTCAGGCTTTAATAGTTAGTAAGCGGCATATTCTTAGATTTATAAGCTTCATTTAGTTTAGGGTTTTTTTGGTTTTTGGTTTTGGTTTTGGTTTTAGGTTTTTTTTTTTTTTTTTTGCTTTTTTTTTTCGGCAGTGCCACACAGCTCGCGGGATCTTAGTTCCCTGACCAGGGATCGAACCCGGGCCACCACTGGATTGCCAGGGAACTCCCTGTAAGCTTCATTTAAGAGAACCTTCTTAAAAAAAAAAGAGAGAACCTTCTTACCATGATAGAAATGTATGTTTTCCAGCCTGCAGTCATTGTTGAGAACTAACACATCTTGATGCAGAACAAACTTTGAAACCACAAGTAGAGGGGATGAGAAGGAAACAGAGAATTAAACGCAGCCTGAGTGAAATCAGCCTTCCCCTTCTTTTACCCTATTTCCCCCCAAACAGATTCAAACTGTGCCACAGGCTGCAGGGCTCAGGGTGTGCCGGACTGTGTCCTCCTGCCCCCAGAGCCAAATGGGCAGTGAATTCTGTTCCCCAAGGCTGGGCCGGGAGGAAGGAGGTCAAATGGGACATTCTGAAAATCCAAGACATCCTAGTTCTTCAGACAAGAAATGGCCCTGGGCTTCCCACCAAAGCACTGGAGGAGGAAGGCCTCGCCCCCAGTCCCTGGAGGGCTTCTATGAGGATGGGTGTGCAGTGGTGCAATTGAACTGATTTGCTCCGGGAACTGCGGCTGTCTTTACCATGAAATCAGTTGAATGCTATTACATCAGCCTCGTGACTAAGAGCGAAAGAATCCAGCCATCCACAAGATGTTTTGCTAATCTGCTCCCCCCTCAAGAAGCTTGTTTGAGGTAAAGAGAGGGTCCTTCTTTCCCACCCACGTTGCTCCCACCACACCCAGCAGCACCCAACTTGCACCCAGTTTGTAGATACTCGGGCTGCGTGTGGCTGAGCAGCTATTCACAAGGTAGAGTTCTCCTAGAACCACCTCAAGGTCCCAGGGGACCTCAGAACTAACACTCTTTTTTTCTATCAACTGCAGCACAGTGAGCTGACATGGCACGCAGTGGGGACAGAGGTGAGGGGTGTTTTCGGCAACACTCTTGTATTTAAAATGAACACAAGCTCCGGCTCCTGATTTGAGACCACAAAGGAGCAAAAGGCATCCTTGGAGTGCCGACGGCCTTCTCGAAGGTTCTTTCCGTGAGCTGGCTTACTGCGCTCCTGCTGGGGCTCCCCTACCCCTGCACCAGCAGAGGCACGCCGCTCCCCAGCTTCAGAGCTAAGCTTGACCCAGCTGCCAATCTCCAAAATAAAATCAATGTGTGACCTTATTCACCAGCTGTACCGAAGAAACTAACTCAAACTAGGGCCAACTTTGAAGCCAAAAAGGGAAGATGAGAAGTTGGGAGAGAGAGAGAGAAAGAGGAGGGGGGAAGAAAAACCTTGGCTGGACATGAAAGGTGTCTTGTCTGTCTGTTCCCCATTAGGCGCAATTCTCTTGCAATCTGCAGCCTCGACATAATTCTCTTGACCAGAAACTCTCCAGAGAGATAGTGTCAGAAGGAAAAACAAACAGAATAGCATCTCTGACAGCAAAGTCACTTAAAAACCTATTTGGGGGTGGGGATGGGGGAGAGATGTCAGCTCTTAGGAGAGGGCGCTCCTCAGCAGGCCACATGCAGAGGACCACTCGCCCTGGGACAGACAGGCATGGGAGGGAGTGCCCAGGAGCGAGCTGGTGGGGAAGCAAAACCCCAAGTCCTCTGCCCTCCCAGCCCCTCTGATGCCACACGACCCCCCTTGCCTGGATTTCTCAACTGTGCACTCAACACAAAACCCCACGGTGCTGGGCTTTGCACAGCCTGCGTTGCATTGAGGGGACTTCAGAAGGATTACCTTAGGAAAAAGTGGGCCCAATTTGTCCTAACTCCACGTCTCGTTTCTGACTGCCACCAGCAGCCAAAGGCCGAGAACCCAGCTCTCCCTGTAAGCTGGCAGCCAGCTACCCAGGCTGCAAGGCCTGTCCCCCCAACCCCCTTTGACCTGCCTTTGAGCAAAGCCTTCAAGTGTTCAAAGCCCCGCCCTTGCCTGCAGGAGCCTGGGGGTTAGGATTCTGGAGTCGGGGGTGCAGAGCGGGAGAGAGCACAGTTCTGCACTCAAGTTTCTGGGGCAGGCATCCTGTTATAGGAGAGGGCTTTTTTTTTTTTTTTTTTTTATAAGGAAGAAAAACTAATAAGAAGAAAAAAATAAGAGCTTTCCCCTGCCTTTCGGACTTGTTTATTGCTGGGATATCTGATTTCAGCAGAGGAAGCCGGCACTGGAGCAAGGTTTTTATTGGCCGCGAGCAAGAGGCATTCAGGCTTTGCCTTTGATTTGGCTTCTCCAGAACTGGAGGCACAGAAGAGCCCTTGCTGCTTTGGTGGAGCTGCTCCGTACTTCGGGGTCCCCCGAACTCCCTGTTTCTGCAGTAGCAACAAAAATGCCCTTTGGAGGACGAGGGTGGAGTGAGGGGGACCCAGAGTGGAAGGTGGCCTCGTGGACATTTCAGAAGAGAGAGCAAAATAGGGGACAAAGGTTTAAAAAGTTCTGAAATTGGCTCCAGGGCTGTGCTCTCTGCCCCCCTTCCCCCAAGTGGGGACCTGGAGGAGGGAAGGTCTGGTTTGGATGAAAGCTCAGTGTCTCTAGCTGACGAGGCTAGGCAGGCTGCTCGGAGGGCCAGGCCTGATGGTTTCAATGTGTGGAGAAGATACAGCCAGATCTGCAGAGGGGGCCCTGCCAACGGCACTCCTCAGCTGGGCTGGCAGGCTCTGGGGAGGGGCTGGCCAGCTGGGCCACAGGCCCTCGGGGCTGCTGCCGATCCCCCAGGGCTCTCCACAGACACCTTTGTGCCCAGACAGCAGCCGTTTGGTGTCTGGAGCGCCAGCCACATTGATCTACCCTCCAGTGCTGGCTTCCTGCCTCCCGCTGCCTTCCAAAGGGGGCACCTCCTCCCTCGCAGAAAGAGAGGGTGTTCCTCCATTGGGGGGCCTCTGGGTGAGCCCAGCCAGTTCACTCTCTCCCTTTTTTCCTCCCTGCATCCTACATCTATCTTTCCCTCGGATCCCCCTGCCCACGTTTCCCCCACAAACCACTGGTGATGGGAAGGACCCTGAGACTGAGGACTCTTGAGTGTCTTTGCTTTACTGCTATAGCCATCCATGGGCAGGAGCCTGCTGCTGCGGGTGCCGGGACTTTGGGGCCCGCGCGGATGGTGGAGGGCAGCCCCTCTGGCGGGAAGAGGCTTCTGCCCGGGTACAGCCCGCTTCCCGTTCCAGATTTGCGACCAGAAGGTCCACAGGAGAGCCACGTTCTTCCCCTCCCCGGGCCTCACAGCATCTGTGTGTGCCTGTGTGACGGGTCGAGGGCCTGTCTCCATCACTGAGCACGTGGCCCAGCCGAGGTGGGCGCCGTCCCCGGCGTGCTCCGCTCACCTGTGAGGTCCAGGCCCGCTGGCAGCCACTGTGCCGTCTGGCGCTCTGAACTGAGGCCCAGAGCCTCCCTCTGGCAGGGCTGGGGAAGCGGGAACAGGGCTCTCACTGTGTCCGCTGCAAGGAACCCGGGCATCAAAAGGATTTTATGCAGTGAGTTTGG